GATACTCGATCATCAGCGAACTATTTGTTGGATTTTTTGTGCGGGTCTCCTCCCCTTCTATATAATTGGATTATTTTTCATACAAAAGGCACTATATTCATCTGTAAGAGTAATTATTATCTCCGTCGTTGTGTTTGTGAATGCCGCGATCCTTCTGGGTAATAAAGGAATACAGAAGTTCTATGAGAATAAACAGAATCCTCAACGATGTTGCAGACTGGTTCAGGTGCAAGCCGTTTTAGAACACGAATCTTTTCTCGATAATGAAGAATGTACGGCTGCTTCAGCCGAAAAACCGGTCAGTTTGACCAATGAACAAACAAGAGAGGACCTAGTAAACAGCTTAATACGGATGCTACCTCCTAGACCGCCGATAGGTGGCGTACACAGGGATGAATTACGTGTCCGAATGTCTAACCGAAAAAAAAAAAACAGGATATCATCAGCTGAACAATATAAAGTACGTTTATTCAAGAGTGTCCCAAGGTAGCTCAAAAGCTATTGTGCGTAAGAATTTTACAATGTCCGAGAATTATGTCGAGTTGTACAATGAGATTTTATTTCATTGTCTGTATTCGTCGGCCAACCATCGGTTCACGTTCTCATTAACTTTTAACCCATCAGGTGAAGTATGTGTAGTTATATGCTAATAACAGTCAATGACTTTTCAGATACTTCCTATCAAGAGGTGTGAAATAGAGTCTTGGGTTGTCGTTACCCGCTGAATATATATGCTACATACATAAAAAGAAATCATTAGAGTCATTATCGGCGCAAAAAAGGATGGAACGAATATCCCCCCTCCCCGGTCCGTCCGTGAACAAGTGCAGAAGCTGTTCGGCTACACTCAATAACAGTAGTAGCATTATTATCTCTTTATGAAAGTCTGCAAGCCCTACCAAAATACGAACGTGTTGAATTTCTGATTGTTTGTCGTGAAGAAAAGTTGCGATGACTTAAACGATCGATTGAAACAAGATATCGTCTAAACGCACGAGCCTCCGTGCCGCCGACGTCGCGAAACAGGGAATGAATACCGGAAAGGACAGTCGCACTGGGAAGACAAATAGTTTTATAGATTTGACGAGAGACGGGGACCGCATTGCTGGCGGCGGGGTGACGAACTTCTACTGGTATCTGTGCAGCTCGAGCAGCTTTGCCACGTTGCGCTCCGCCCTCGGGTCTTCGCAGCAGACTTATTTCTTCTTAGCATCAATGGCATTGGTGTGAAGTCGTTTTTGCTGTTTGAATGTTATATATGATGTCGCCGCAACTGTCAAACAACAGGAGTGACCTGCTAGATGGCGATTGGTCGCAAATTGGTCTACAAGGCTTTTCCTGTGATTGCATAAATGTAATATAATATAGCATAGCATGTGAGGAGGACTCGCACGTACGAGGCGCCTCCCGTGGCAAAATGGTCGGCCAATTATGTTGTTTATATTACGAAGTGAAACAGCTAGCAAGCAATTAATAGGTAATGTCGTAGCACACTCTATCGAGATTGTCTTCTACTGTAGGATGACGCCACGACGACAGGATAGTAGCGGAACGGCTGGATATGAATATGGCTGGATTAACGACCTATTGAGCAAAGGTGGACTCCAATTAGGGCTGGTCACAGTCCGTTCTGTTGGGTGTATAATGTATCGATGTATGGAGTTGACAGGCTGTTAGCACCGGCAGTCGGGTCGACGAAGATAGCGCCCACTCGTTTTCGTCTACGTCAAAATAGGCAAGTATTGTCACTTGCGAGTAAGAAGTTTATCGTTGACGCTTGCTGCGTTATTCCGATTGACAAAAGCTGCCAGCAGCGCCTGAGCAATGGCGTTGACGTACATGAGACAGGTATGTTATTTATTAAATCAGATGCGACACACCGGCACATTTGTGATGACAAGAACCACGTTGATGCTGTCGAGGCCAGAAATTAACGCAAACAGACTACTCTATGTGTGTGTATATGTATACAAAATTTGACTGTTTTTTGTAGCCGGTCCACCAGAGATTAAGACTAGAAAGCGTTTATCGCAAATCGTTAATTACAACAAGTTTTAGCCGAGGTCAGACCATCCGCACGCATCGAAGCTTTGAAACTACAGCAAAAGTATATAGGCAACTAATGAAAGAAAAGGTTAGTTTCTACAGGGTTGTGATTCGACCTTTATGAACCGATGTACGTCCTAACAGTTAATAAATTTCGACAGGCTTTTTATCTGGGGAGCATTTTATTGGCTTGATCGATAATTGATTAACGCCGCAAGAAAGGAGTTATCATACGCTGCAGTAAAGGTAGCATAAATAAGATAAAAAGGGTAACCACTATATCGCTTAAGATAATATAAAAGATAGTATTTAACCAACAAGGTCCATAATACATTTGTGTGCTGCAGCGAGTGATTTTGGAGAAACGTACATAGACAGATGGTTTTCTTGGTAACCTGCGCACGGTTGCCACACGCCCGATAGTCGAATGCGCATGAAGCCAGACAGTCCGATCACTGTAATGATCCACAGTTCTCAAATAGCTTCAACGCATTCATACGATTTGCCGGATGACAAACGTTAAATTGTCATTGACAAACAAGTCTTGGCGAAAGAAATGAATCGGCAAAAATTGTGAACAAAATCAGAGCACAACCGATGCATCAGAGGAACGATAAGAAACGATAGCGTATTTGGCACTGGCAGCGCTGAATAGGCAGGCATTGTTTTAGCTTGCCAGTTTCGATGACAGCTATAGGTCAGAGAACTCCTGAGACTGTGGAAAGTTCACAGGGGTTTCAGCATTAACCTATTTAAATAAAGCGTTTGTTAATTAATCGTTATGATGTTATTAACCGTCCCACCGGCTGGTGGGGTTAAGAAATGAATGCGATATATATTCGTGATATAATAAATGATACATTTGTAGTTAGGGGGCTGTGTAGAAGGAGAATAACCTTATTATTATTTAATAGTCGGTTTGATGATGATTTTAAGCAAGGTAATTTATAACGTGTGGGTGTGGTTTCTACCATCGCGAGTATGCTATGTAAATTTACCAATCAATCTTTTCTCAACATATCAGATTTTTGTGTAATATAGTGATCCAAATGAAGACTACCCGAGTATTGCATAAAATATTTTCGTGTTAACACTAGACTGTTACAAGCGAATCTGGTGGAGTTTAAAATTGAATTCTGTTTGAATTAGTTGGAGTGGAAAAATTATTTTTAGTAAGTGTTCTAGATTCTCTCCTTTGTTTTTCCAGCGGTATGATGGCTTCCGGACAGCCATATACCTATCACTCGCATTCTCAGGTGTAGTATTACTACCGATGGTTTCTAGAAGTAAGTCGGATATGGAATCCACCACACGCACTTCCAACCGACATCGAGTCAATTTAAGGTGGTCCCATTATTTACCTAGTTTTTGTATTTGAGTTACAATTCTGCAGTTACTTGTGAAATTCCAGTTTTGGCCAATAGGGTTTCAAACTTTGCGTCGTCAAGAAACCTCCTCGATTGTTGCAACGCGTTCTTTGCCCTCGGATCCCGATAATCGGTCACCTATTTGCTGGCCTTCACCACTCCAGTCTCCGTCCTTGGAACGCTCTATCATGCAGGTACTGTGTATTTGCTTAAGGTCTCCTTGTCTTAAATTTCGAATTTTTCCTTTCAAGAAACGAAAAATTCGCCACTGAGCGTTAGTTTTTGAGATTAAAAGATATTTTCCTTCTAAATTAATTTCTCCCAGACTAAATTCAGCTGATTTCATCAAACAAAACCAAAGTAGTTGAAAGTTTGAGCTTCGCTAGTGAGTCGTAGTTAAAAAGAAAAGTTAAAGTAAAAAAAGACTTCGAAATCTGCCGAATTCGACTATAATAGCTTAATACTATGACGATCAAACAGATTGTAAGCGTATGAGTTTTTAGTTCGATTTCTATAAAATGTTAGCACAACTAACAATCATTGATAGACTCAAAAAACAGAAAATTTCAGTATTCACAAACTACGTATTAACACTAATCCTACCACTAATAGTCGATTTGATCGTCTGCAATTTGGCTCAAAGGTAACATGATAGACGAAATGACATTGAACATCTACGTTTAATTATAAAAACAATAAATTTTTTTTAAGAATCGATCATGTTGACCGGTTATGATTCAAATCGGCATATAATAAGCGTCGGCGAGCTTGGTATTATGTTAACTAGTATGATTTGCTATAGAGCGCAGGTCTACTAAAATCGAAAATAAGAAAAGGCGTCTGTCGTTTATCGAGCTTATACTATCCTAACTTGTTTTCTGTCTGCCCAAATAAGCGCGCAAGTTCTTTCCAGATTGTCAGTGGCAGATATAGGACGCAAAGGTCGAAGAGTCCATAAGTTTTACACTAGCTATAGAGAAAGAGATTATAGCACTAGATGTGGCAAAAATTATTTTCGAAGCTTAGATTGTTGCTCACTCGTAAATGACGAAGCAGCAAAAAACTTCATTGAGTTTTTTTTTACTAAATATATATGTTGATAAAGTTGTTTTCATTTAGAGGCAATGCTTAACGCACAAGTCAAGCTCCTGAGTTTCAATAATTAGAAATCTAATTAAAGTATTGACGCTAATGAACTTTTTCGTTTTCACAAATATTGATTTTTTGTATTTGCACCCAAACAATAAAAAAGAAAACATATTTTGTTTGGTGAACATTGTGTTTCGTTGTTGTGAGTAAACTGACCATTAGGTTGTATCAGTGAAATCTTCTCTAAAATGTATGGCAATAATAAAATATTTTTTGTAACTTAACTTGAACCCATAGTCGAATTTCACCTTTTCGTGTCTTTCTAGCGGTGGTTTTCGCCTTGGGTAAACCGTTGGTCGTTGTCTTTTTCCATCAAAATGTCCGTCTTGCTCAAATAGTTATTACGAACCATAGCTATAATTATTAAGATACGGCGACGCCGTTCCAGTAAATCGCCCGCCATCCCTTGCGTCACAACAATGCGTTCATCTGCCGGATAGTCGCCATTGATCAATCTAGACAGTCTGTATCAGCTGGTTAGTTTGAATGGGGTGATAAATACCCAGTTTTCAAGTTTTGGTGAGGTAAGCATTTGAACATCAATTTCGAGCAACGACGAGTTGTCGTGATGTGGGATATTTGCGATTACGCACGATGAGGTGGGAACTAGCCACGAGATCCACAGGGACATTTAGTATGGAATTATCAAGAATTTGGGTTGGCATGTTTGAAAAGAGATAATAAAGACTACAGAATTTAGGAAGTAATTAGATTGATTGTTAATGCTACTTCGCACAGTAATAAAGACTGTTCTCCTATAACTGCAAGAAAACCGCGCGCGAACGTTCCCCATGTTAATAAAAAACGTGTGTGAAGTACCGTCTTAAAGTTTTTTTGCTTCGTAAAGAACCGTTCATAGGCACATGGAGAACAGAAAACGTGTCGTTTATGTGAGCTCGTCAGAATTAAATATTGAGCTTTTTGCGCCTCTGCAACGGCACCTCGTAATAACGAAAGTGTCAAAATCAAACTTGCTAACAATCGAATAACATTTGAGCAACCACATATCGGAAGCTTTCTCTCTTGAACGCTCCCGTTCTAAAATACTTACTAGGACACTCTAAGAATAGTGTCCTATGGTGCAGGTTCATGACATTTGCTAAGCCGGTATCAAATTGGAAAGACGCAACATTTTCTACGTGCTCAATTAGTTCGTATCGACTCATGTCAAATAAATTCGTGCATTTGTAAGTTTAAGAAAGTTGCTTATAGTAATGTCCATGGCGTGAATCATGTAATACCTTGCTCTGTATTTCCACGTCTGTAGGCTCGGTCAACGAAGTTTCGGTCCTTGCAAGACAACGACGATTCGGATTAAGGACTTCTACAGCAAAAAACAAGAATTTCCCAGCGATTTCTGGTGATCTCAAACCATCAGCAGTATCTCGGAACGAACTGTCCATCTTAAGAACTTTGGCACAGTTATATGTTATCGCCAGGAAGAATTCAGCCAAATTTGATCGCGAGATAGCGACTTGAGATAGCTTCGTGCTGCCAGTATGTCGAGCATTAAAAAACTGAAATCTGCGAAGAAAGTGGTCGAGAAAGTCATTCACACTACTCCACTCAAAACGTACGTTTCAGCTGGAATGGCAGTCCCGGGCCCACCACTTGGACCTCAATTGGGACAACGTGGAATAAATATTGCGTCGTTCTGTAAGGATTTCAACGAGCGGACAAAAGATATCAAAAAAGGAATACCGATACCATGTAAGATATCTCTTAATGAGGATCGAACTTTTTCGCTCGAGATGCTCACGCCGCCTTTGGCCTATTTTGTGAAACAGGCCGCTGGCCTTACTCGTGGAGCCCAGTTCAATGGAAAGGAAGTGGCTGGACTTATTTCCTTGAAGCATGTTTATGAGATAGCTAAAATCAAATCGCAGGATGTTACGTACGACTGTGTCCCGATGCAGAAAATCTGTCAGGATGTCATCCGGGCGGCATATACCTGTGGAATAAAAGTTGTACCTTCTTTGACCGCCGAAGAAATAGCGGCTTTGCAAGAGGAACGCAAGCCGGTCGTAGAAGCTCAGATACGAGAGATCGAAGAAAAGCGTCAGGCCAAGTTGCTTCGTACTGCTTAGTAATAAGTTTGAAAATCAATTAAAGAAATCTGCCACAAAATAGGTGCAACCTTAGCTGTTAGAGGTTACATCTTTTTTTTTTTTTTATCATACATTGATGTGTATGTATACGCTTAGACTACTAAGATTAGACTGAATGTTATTCCTCAAGGAAAGAGAGCACGTCTTAGTCAAATTAATAGCGAAACGTTCTAGATATCGTACAGAGCTATATATTCGACAGTGGAAAGCTTGCCGATTATAAAAACTGCAAGTATGATACACATGCATTTCTACGTATTTGTATCGTGACGACGTCCACCATTGAATAATGTTGGCTGTATAAAGTGAAACTGAATTAAATACAATACACGAACAAAAAACTCCTACCATCATCATAATCACATATGCTAAATTGCATGCGATCAGCTAATTACTGTAATAAATTTAAATATACACACAGGCACATAAAGGTTTTTCGTTTTCTTTTTGTTTCATTTGGCTTTGTATTTGTAAGCGTAGCTGAACGGGTCAATGACAGCGTGGCAACAGCAAGATTACCTAATCCCATAGCTAATAATAGTAATAATAATCCTATTAATAACGAAAAATAAAAGCGAAGGCATCAAAAATTAATCACCCATCGACTTGTGGTTGGCAAAGCAAACCCAAACAGCAAAAAAGTAGGCGACCAAATCGTCCCAACAGATTAACGAAGCCAGTGCGAGTTACTCAAAGGCTTCGTGGATGTAGATTTCCACGACAGCATGATTTTTGCATGAAGATCGGGTTTGAGATTCGGAAGACGAAAGGGCAGCACAATTGATCGATTCCCATTAAATACGTTCAGTTATCTTTTTGCTCTATTTTATATATATTAATCATATGACGAATATATGTCATTTTTATGGTGTTGAATTCCCGTATCTAACCCCACACATATAACGAAACGTGGTAACTGAGGTCGTCTTTATTTTGAGTACGAAAATAGGTCCAGCTAAAATTTTTCCCAAATAAGTAGCTTCGTTGTTATCATCCCAAGGGTAGCTGTTCACTTGCTACTTAAGCACGATCAACTACCGTGATGACGTCGAGAATATCGGAAATCGCTAAAATCTTATCCATTATGTGTGAAGGTAGATATCATAGTTAACTAGAACAACCTGTTTCATGTTCTAATTCCGCATCAAAGTGTAAATTTACTCTCAGGATCTTCGTTGAGGTTTTTGCTAAGGCTAGTTAGGAGGCAAGGCAGGAGTCTTGAAGGAGTCTCGACTCGTTTACCAACTTATTAACTCGGTAAATTGACTAGCGTTCAACATAACAATGAGCACGACTTTATACTGTATTCCCACTCAACTCAATGCGCAATAACCGTTATACAAAAGTACATTGGCAAGGATTTATAGCTAGGCATCGTTCGTATGATATATACTTATATATCAACGTTTCGTCGTCTTCTAATTACCAGAATTTGCACTGGTTTCCATTATTCATCCGCAGTAAATCTATTCTACGCCAGCCAATGCCATTTACTAATAATGAATTCTAATTACTTTTTCGAAATATTGGCGTCAAAGTTTGCTACTAAAGTTGGTTCCGTTCTCTCTGGGCCGTTTCCTCGCCGTAGCCACGCAGTTGCCGTTCTTAATAAGAGCGTCATTTCTATTAGATAGGCCCCGATGTGCGGGGTGTCTGCTGTGTGTATGAGTGTCGTCTATGTCCGATGAAATCGCCATCGAAGCGTCTTTGCGTATTCTTGTTGTTTTTCTCAATCTCCATTTTTCGGCGTAATCTCACCCTCCATTTAAGCTATTCTCTACCATCCCCTGTCAATGGTGATTATAGTAATAATAACAAGGACCGACTGCCTATCTGCGCCGCCGCTGCAGCTATTGCTGTTGTCGCTGCTTCTGCTGCTGTTGTGAAGTAGAAAATTTTTCGGGTCCGACTTTAATTGCCCTTAGCCCTGCCTTGCTCTCGGTATGCCCTACACTCGGCCCGTAACCTCGTCCATCGATAGCAGCGGGGCAGAACGGCTGTGTGGGGGCCTCCTCCATTACAAGGCGGATCTGACCTGTGACCCCAAAAGGTCTTCTGTTTTCGCTCGTTCAGATGGGCAGTGGTTTCTCCGACGTCAGTAAGCAGCAGCCTTCGGCAGCACTGGTCCGTTCGCTGTTGTTCAATCGTTCGAAAAAACAAGTCGAGTATTGAGCGAAAAAAGCCTCGATTCACAACCGAACGATTAGAGCCGTTACCGCGTTGGTGTTAAGATCCGGCAGGCGGATGAGATGTTCCCGAACGGTTAGGGTTAAGGGCGCCGCGACCACTTTCGATAGAAAAAGTGTACGGCAACAGCCGCACCAGTGGTGATGGCTGACAGAAGTAGTAACAGGGCAATCGAACATAGCGGAAGTTGGTAACATACAAAGTGGTGGAAGCTGGTAAGGGACAAATAGGTAAAGAAACGACGCAATATACTTTTCGATCTTACCCAATAGTGTATAGGTGAGTATCGCAAATACTATAATTTGCTTATGCCTGTATAAAATTAAAGAAGATACAACAATATCTGGTGACTTCTTTGCAGTGATAGGTTATTTCATGCACGGCTAAGAATACATGGCAAATATTCTTTAAATCACTTTTACATAAAGAAGAAAAAAATATCTATATATGTCCTTTGAAATGCCAGCTGTAGGAAATATATGTAAAAAAAGTATTCCCTTCTTATGAACGTCCGTATTATCCCTGAGCATACAGTCATCCGGTATGGTGAACGTCTTATGAATGTGTCTGAATGAAATTACCTTATACACGTAAGCGTCAAAGGGGAAACTGAAAGGAACAGTCGCCTCACAAGGTGTCGAAAAGTTTTCATACCCGAGTTCTGTTTCTACAATAGTACATGGCCGTCGGGTACTCTTTGGCCTGCCACAGCAGTATCACACCATGGCTGTAGCTTCAACTCGTCAGAAGAGTCATGAAGTGCTGTATTACATAGACCGCAGACAAAATTCCTGCACCATATGCCCCGTCGTCTGAACCAAGCTCGAAGTTCGATTTAAATCTCAATGGGAGCACAGCATCTTCGAACTCCTTAGGGCCTAGTGTAGCTGCCCCTATAAATAGGAGTTAGAATATCTCGGATGTACATGTCTATAAATGACGCCGAATATCCTTTGGAGCATTCGACTTGTTATGCCATTAAATTTGCTGCTAAAGATAACTTAATCCCACCCTGAATTGTGGCAGTAACTGTCTCGTGATGCGCAGTAACACTCATGCAATATAACCTCTCGCCTCTAGAGAAATCCACAAGTTCGTGAAGAAATACCTGTGCTGTACGCGAGCGATGTGCAAGGCATCTGTTTGATCTAGAGCTAGGGCGGTTCGCGTTTCCGTTATGAGATGACAAGACAAAAAGGAGGTTGAGCTTTGCGTATAGAATGATTCGTTATTGAGCAGAACTTCAACGGTCGATGACGTCCTACGCGACAGCCGCCTCGCACAGGAATCGACAGATTAGTATAGACATCTATCGGTTTTATCTGAGAATACGTGTTGATCACTGTGTGTCAATGTCAATGGGTTAACTTGCCAGCAACGGATGGCGCTGTCGCAGCGATGTCAATAAATTTCGGGATGTTAAGTTTGAGGGGTCTAGCAGCACGCAGATTAAATAGAATTCCTTCTTATTGCCGATTAGATTGCGCTAATTCAGTTGGGTGCTGTAGACCGATAGGGGGATTTGATCGGAGCTCAATATGTTCGAGGTGATATGGAATGAATAGTAAAAGGTTTGAAGCATAAGTATCAACTGAGGATGTGCAGAAAGAGACTGTAGGCCGCTTTGCCAATGGCTGACTGCGCCGTTGGAATGCCGCGGTGGTACAGAGTTTGATCTCGTTACCAGGTCAGGAGGTTTCCGAATAGATGCACGATATTACTGAATGTCTTTAATTAACGCAAGCCATATAACAGAGATTGGTTTTCTGGGATTAGTTGGTTACTACATCGATTTATATACGTGTTAAAAGCGAGTATTTCTATATGGTGCAGGTGATTACAAACTATTACTGCTAGCTGAAATAATATATATAATATAAATAATAATGCTTTACGGCTCATGAACAATTTCAAGTATACAGGAATAAGATGCACCTGTATTCAATAAGAGTATACCAGCTATTTTCGTTAATATATTAAGAAATGCTTTCGTAAATATTTGTGAGAACAAGTCTTTGGAATCATTTGTTAGGCATAGCATCAATGACCTGCCTAAGTAGGAACATAAGCCGGGTTAAGTATTGCTAGGCTTTTCTGAGTTTTCTCCAGTAGATCTATAAAAGCACATAGGCAGATTATTTTCTAGGAGAAGTTAGTTTTAATAAAACGTAATTCGAATTAGCATTTGAAGTTTGTCTCAAGTGGATATTGCGAGACATCTCTTTGTTAGTCTACCTTTTATCAGTCTACAAAATCAGGCGAAAGGCAGCTTACAAATCTTGAAAGGTTGGACTACGCTGGACGGCAAATCTATTTTCAGTTACAGTATAGGCGCCAAACAGTTTCAATGATACGAATACGTGATGCGTTAATGGCGCGTTACTGCTCGACGCGCCCGTATTCATTGCAACTTTGGCCGTAACAATGTCCGATCCAAATCAGTTCATTATAATACAAGCCTAGTGCACCCTATCTGCTGGTGCAAACGAACAATTTCTAAAATTATAATCACTGTGATAATAGAGATGTTATTAAAAACTGTCTAAAAAACGATTCGTTAACCCTTTCCTCCTAATTATATCTGTGTGTCCATCTAATTGTCTATAGGTATACGTGTGCGGATAAGCCTTATGAGTCATTTGAACGTGTGTCTAATTATTTTTCTTTTTATCCAGACTTATATATTGTTATACTTGAAAGCATTCGTCCTTTCCTATTTAGTACTGTATCATACATACGCATCTATGTCTAGAGCGTTGCCCTTAAAGTCGCTGAATTAGAGGAATAAGCTGAGGTGGTCGACAGCGTGCTGAAGGTATGGAAGGGAATAATTTGATTTTACACGCTCTTTATTGTAATAAGTGTTGAAGTAACCGCACGCGCGCGTACGTCCTCTATCGCTCATAACGATGGACTGAACGCCCGCAAGACTTTGGAAGCGAAACTGCCTACGGCCTGTCATGTCGTTAGCTTGAACATGCTCGTGGATACGTATACGATCATCCACTGTTTATATATAGACATTTACGTTTCAACGGTGATGTCCCTCTGTGTGTCCGTACACATCTTGATAGCACTTCGCACCAAAAACGCGGGGAGAATACGGCTAGGTAGAAGCTGTCCTATTCTAAAATTTGCCACAGCGGTTTTGGCGTTGCCTTGAAAAGTCGGAATTAGCGTGAAATGGCTCGACGTCTCCTTTATTCCTCGATTCGCTGTTTGTGTCTCTTCACGATTATTATGATAATTATTAGATGAGCGCTTCATCCTTTGATTATTGTTAAAGTCACTGAATGTGGCCAGAGTCA